CCAGCCTCCGCCCCCCGCCCCCCGCCCCCCGCCCCTCCAGCGCATGCAGGCAGCCGCTCCAGCCGCGCGCAACGTTCGCGTAGACCAGCGGTTGCGCGGGGCATGTATTGATGCGAACCACTTAGAGACCTCATGAACACTGCCGTGTCGTGACTCACAAGATGCAAGGCCTAGCTGAGCATGCCCTACTTTTGGCAGCTGAGTGCTGCACGCCTGCACGCCTGCACGCTATGCCGTGGTGCACGCCATGTGTCACCACGCGCAAGCCTGCACTCGCTGATCGCTGCGGTAGAGCGAGTCTGAGAGTCATGGTTGATCTGGGCGGGCCTCGGAGAACGTGAGGGGCCGCAATTCGAGACATGGCCAACGCCAATACTTTTGCTTTCCACGTGTCGATACAGCGGAGCATTACGCCTACGCCTACACGCCAACTACCTTTGTGAGTATCACCGCTCACCTGATGTAGCCATACATAGACATCATGTCAGCCTGAAGCCGCTCGTCTTACTCGCGATCGCTCACACAGACGGCGCTGGCGACGACTTGACCAGAAGATTCAACACCACGACTAGACCACAATGTAATGACGGTAATGCTCTTGGGCGTCAATTCGTGCACCGATCGCGCCCAACATTGGATGATACCAATATCATCACATGGACATAACAAGTCCAATAACTGCTACAATGACTACTACCTAACACTCAAACAAGACCCGTCTACTGCCCGCCACGGAGACGGAGCACGAGGTGCAACGTCGACTCCTTCTGAATGTTGTAGTCCGACAGCGTACGCCCGTCCTCCAGCTGCTTGCCGGCGAAAATAAGGCGCTGCTGGTCGGGAGGGATGCCCTCCTTGTCCTGGATCTTGCTCTTGACGTTGTCAATCGTGTCAGAGGACTCGACCTCGAGCGTAATGGTCTTGCCAGTCAGACTGCAGTCAGCATTGGGCGCCAAGGCAATAATATGCAAGCCTGCACTCACGTCTTCACAAAGATCTGCATGCCGCCGCGGAGACGCAGAACGAGGTGGAGGGTAGACTCCTTCTGAATGTTGTAGTCGGAGAGAGTGCGCCCGTCCTCAAGCTGCTTGCCAGCAAAGATGAGACGCTGCTGGTCAGGTGGAATGCCCTCCTTGTCCTGGATCTTGCTCTTGACGTTGTCGATCGTGTCTGACGACTCGACCTCAAGGGTGATCGTCTTGCCGGTCAGAGTCTTGACGAAGATCTGCATGCCGCCACGAAGACGAAGGACAAGGTGGAGAGTGGACTCCTTCTGAATGTTGTAGTCGGAGAGAGTGCGCCCGTCCTCGAGCTGCTTGCCGGCGAAGATAAGACGCTGCTGGTCGGGAGGGATGCCCTCCTTGTCCTGAATCTTGGACTTGACGTTGTCGATAGTGTCCGAGGACTCGACCTCAAGGGTGATGGTCTTGCCGGTGAGGCTGTCCACGTCAGCATTTCGCCATAACACCGATGTCGACAAGTGCTCGACTTACGTCTTGACAAAGATCTGCATGTTGGTGGGCAACTGTTGCGTGGAAGCTGGTAGAGGACTGGAGGGGAGTAGGTGCGTGAGATAAAGTAGTTGTCGGGTAAGAAGAGTAATGTGTCAGCACTGGTTGATAAGAACGGGAGGGGGTGGTGGCTGGGCTGCTGGAGCTTGTGACTTTAAGCGATGTGGCCACGAGGTGGGCTAGACCTGCCATGGGTGCACGATCACCAAAGCACAGTATGTGAAGGTGAAGCGCGAGAATCAGGTAGAATGAGGAGGAGGAGGAGGAGGAGCAAGGAGGAAGGAAGGAAGCCCAGACGATGGCGCGGCGTTGCGCGTTGATTTGGGTGGCGATAACGAGGGAAATGAGTAGAATGTGAGGGGAGGGAGTGGTGGCGAGGGAGGTGGGACTCACGTTGCTAGGTGCGGAGTGGGACAGAACGCAAGTAGCGAGTGCGAGGGATGGAGAGAGTGAAGAAAGAAGAGTGAATTGACAAGATGCAAGTTGCGATGAACGGCGTTTAAAGAGGATGAAGGGGGGGGGGGGGTTTGTGCACAGCATGGCCGCGGATGGCCGAGGGATGGATGGACTGTGGGCTGTGGACTGTGGGCTGTGGGCTGTGGGGTGGCCCTTGTGGGGTGCTCGCTGGCAGGGTCTCGGCCTTGCAACAGTGGTGGCTGACTCATGACTCAGATGCTCATGCCCGCAGATAGACACGCCCAGGGCGGCGAGTTCCGAGCATTCCAGCGGGCCTGCGGACGCTGCACCCAATAGATGTTCCGGGCCCCACTCAAATGCCGCCTCCCCCCTGCCGCACATCCAGTCATGCCAGTCAGCGCTGACGTCAACCTCCGCTTGCCACCCCCTTACCGCCAGGCCGCCAGCTCCCAGGAGACATATGACGTCGTTTGCCACCCGGGAATTCGGAAATTATTTTGGTCGCGTGGCTGTGGCAGTCTCCGCTCAGACCCAGATGTGGAGGTTTGGGATCGTGACCCTGAGAGGGATCACTGGACCACGTCCAGCGCGAGCCACCAACCGAGCACCTCCATCCAACGGGGCCTGCTGGCCACCACTCTCCATCCGTCGTCCACCATCCACCACCCATTCACCATCACCATCACTCTCATCCTCATCCTCATCCTCATCCTCATCCTCTCTTCTCCCTCATCTTCCCTCACCATCATCAACATCGCCGGGACCATCCGGCTCACACCATCCCACATCTCAATTCCTACCAAACGCATTCCCGCAATCACTTTGACAACATCGTCGTTCTTTCACATCTACCGATAGCATTCTCTCCCGCTTCGCTCGACGCCCCTTCGCACCTAGCACCTAGCACTTCGCATTTCTCTCCAACTTCATCATCCCCCGCGCCCTCAAACGAGCATCATTATACTTGCACTTTACCTTGGAAACGACCTCTGATTTTCCACACACACGTCAACACACCAATCTAGTAGTTTGAACAAGCATCTCAACTCAACAATGTCCATCTCACTACCCAACGGCACCATTCTCGCAGCTCCCTCCTCGTCTCAGCCCCCTGTCTCCGCTGCTGTCACCCGCATCGTACATCTCGCCAACTTCTCTCCAGAGTAAGTTGTCCAGCTCCAACAATCGCTCAAACCACAGGATCAAGACGCGTGACATTCAGAACATCTTCAAGGAGTGGGAGGCACACAAGGGCGGCTTCCGCATCAAGTGGCTGGATGATGTGAACGCGATGGTCGTCTTTGCCGACGCTGGCGTCGGTGAGTGAAGCCTTCCTCCCTGACACGACGCGCCGTGCGCCGTGCATGCCAACGATCTTTCACACTAACGTTCTCAGCCAAGAAGGCGTATTTGAGCCTGATTCTCAACCCCTCCCCGTCCCTTCCTCCGCCGGCCACTATCCGCCCCTACGACCGACCCGACGCGGGCCAGATTATTGCATCGCTCCAGGCCCGCGCCATGGGCCACCGTGCGTCTATGTCGTCGGCAATGCAGAGTGGCAACTTTGCCGGGCTCGTGCGCGACGACGGCGGTCGTAACTCTGCCGGTGGTGGCATGAACGGCTTCAAGATGCCTCTCAACCCTTCATTCTCTTTTGGGGGCTCGACCCAGCCTGGAAGCAACGGTCGCAACAGCGGTCATGGCCGCATGAGCTCGTTTTCCAACCATCAGCGCGCCGGGTCAGCTTCTTCCAACTGGAACCGTCAGTCGCTCAACGGCGCTCTTGGCTTTGGCAATGGTAACAACCCTCCTTCGCTCGGGGCCGCGCGCCTCCCTACGCACTCGGAAGCGTCGTCCAACATCGCCTCGCGCTCAACGTCATCGGCTGATTCCAATGACCCAATTGTCGTAGTGGACGGCAGCACCCAGCTCAAGAGCACGAGCGCGTCCCTCAGCGGCCATCGCTCGGGGCACAAGGCGCGGCGGGAGAGTGTCAGTGCGGAGAAGGCACTTCGCGAGGTGGAGAAGGCGCTGCAGAGTGTTGAGGCGCAATGAAGAACATGCGCCTTGCGCCCAGTATCGATGATCGGCGAGGCTCTGCACTCCTTCCAAGGTTCACATTCTGCTTGCACGAATGTACCCCTCTCCTTGGCTCCCCAGCACATCGTCGCCCAACCAAGTCCTAAACCCCATTCAACATATCGCATCCTCCAATCTCTGTTGTTATCATGTGTCTAGCCGTTGTCGAGGCAGTCTTTACGACCATCTCTCTTTTCTCTTTATAGTTCCCCAACCACGTTTCCTCCACCTCTCCTCTCCTCAATCTCTCTTCTTCTTCTCTCGGCGAATCTCTGTGGCATCTGTAGTTGATGAAGAAACAGTGAGTGGGGGTGAAGCGCGATACTGGAGGCGCAGGAGGGCAGGAGCGCACGACTCTGTCATTATCGCATACTGAGCATTTCCTGGTGAAGGGTCGTACATGCGGTGCATGATTATTGAGTGTTGAACTGAACTACATGGAAATACAAGTCCGCATCTTCGATCGCAGACATACCTGGAGGCAGGAGGGTGACGGCATGTCACGTGACAGACGCGTGGCGGACCGCAGCGGTCCGAGATCGATTGAGCATTCCACCTCTGCATGCACCGACCGCACCGACCGCATCGCCCTCATCACCCTCATCGCCCTCGTCGCCCTCATCCCTTCCATCACTCTCATCCCCCTCAACATCCTCCTCCTCCCGATTCCCTTCGACTCTTCTCGTCTAGGTCTCACTTCTTTCATCCCGTTCCAGCTTTCCCGGCACCCTCCGCTCTCTCAACGCTTATCACAACCATCTCCGTCTGGCCCCATCCTTTCTGTCCCTCTCCTCTCCCTCCCCCTCACCCCCCTTCCCCCCGACGTCCACCTCCTCTACTCAGCCGTCTTGGGCTCCTCATCCCTACCGTCCCCCATGTCCCGCCCCGCTATCTCCTATCCGATCCCAACGGACGAGCCACCACCACTGTCCACTCCCTCGGGCTACTACGCGCCGCCGTCTCCGCGCGGCTCACCGGCCTCCTTCCGCGACTTGTCCAGCTCCACGCCTGGATCGATGCCAGTCGGCTCCCAACCGGCGGGCGGCTCACACCACGCCGGCGGATCACATACAGGCTCAAGCTCGCATCCACACACCTCGCATACGGGGCACGGCGGTGGTTTGGGTTCGGGCGGGTCGGGGTTCAGTGGAACTGGAGGGGCTGGAAGCTACGATGGCGGCAGAAACTCGCGACAGGTCTCGGGACCCCGCGCACCGGTATGCACTGTGGTCTGACGTCGCTGACCGCAGTCCTCCACCTCCACATTGGATTCGTACATCACACGTTTGCTGGTGGTCACCAAGCAGCTCCTCCAAGGTCTCGAGCAGTGGGCGAAACATGAGCTGAGCGAGGAGGCGGTATGTCGTGCTGCGGATTCGGCTAACGGCAGGTCAGCGATATCTATGTCCGGCTCGGAAATGGTTTCGAGCTGTGCGTCAGCACGTTTCGGCGCGCAGGCATCTCTACCACGTGAGTGCCAATCCCGTCTGCACTGAGCGGACGCGTCGCGAGTGCTCAGGCGTGAAGCGTGTCTGAAGCGGCGAACCTCTGGCCTTGGAGACGATGGACGAGGACGACGTCTTCCTCCGATTCGGCCTCGGCATGCCTAACGACATGACGGCGACCCACGATGCGCTCTTCGTTTCGCGAATCACCTGGGTTACGCGCTGACCATACCTCGTCTGCGTAACTCGACGCTGACCCCAGTGACCTCGACTCTGTACCGTCTGATCTTCGCGAGATTCTCGAGCGCGCCCTAGCGGAAGAACCCACGCAGGACACTTTGAACCTGTACCTGCCCGACATTCGCGCTATCATTTTCAACCTTCTCAATGGACTGAAGAACAAGCAGATGGCATACAAGCGGCACCTTGCGGAGCGCGCACCGCATCCTGACCCGGTTACGCCCCAACGACCACAGCCGCGGCAAGCAGCGCCTCCGGCCGAAATGGAAGCGCGCTCTGTGCGCTCAATGGCATCGACTGATGGGCCTACAAGCCCAGCAAGCTTGACAGGCAATCTCCCAGGAGCGAGCGCCCGCCCTCCGTTGGCCGAGCGCGCCCAGCATCGCGAGCGTGCACCCAGGCCCGCACCGCCAGACGCCTTCCGACCGTCGCGTTCGCGTCCTGCTCCCGATGGAAGCGTGCGCACCCTCTCGTCTGGTAGTATTGAGAGGCCGGTGCCCCGGGCTACCTCGCCCATCCCTTCCGTGCACTCCGGCTTCGGGACACCTCCCACCGGCCCCGTCGGCCCAGCGACAATGGTGTCCGCCCCACCACCGGCTCGCCACCCAAGGCGACCAGAGCGCACATCGCGCGATAGCGCAAACCCAACCTCGCGATTCAGCGCAGATTCAGATGTGTCGGCCATCTCGTCGCAGCGCCCGCCTTCGGATGGTGCGAGCGTGGCTCCAATGACCACCATGACCATGCCTATACCGATCCCGCACTCGCACTCGCGTGAGTTGCCATTACCGCCTGGCGCTGGGCCATCTCACATCCAACTATCTCCGCCGCCAGTTGCTCAAGCTGCTACGACCCCTCCTGTTCCTCCGCTTCCAGCGCCGTCAACCGAGGCTCCGCCCAAGACGCCTCCGCCCCCTTCCCCTGGTATGCCGGGGCTGCCGATGCTCAACCTCCCAGATCAGAATGAGGAACCAACGGAGACGCTGAATGGCGTCACCACGCCGCTTGTGAGCGATGATGTGCATCCCGCCGCGCGCTCGAGCTTTGCGCTCCTGCAAAGATCTGATGCGCTGGAGCGCCGCGCATCAAAACGTTTCTCGAGTTACACGTTCAATAAGATGGTGGGCACTAGCCCGGGCAAGAAGACGTCGAGTGGGACCGGCTCACCTCCGCGCCCAGCGCGGCGCTCAAATGTCCACGCTATCCCGCCAATGCCTGCGCTCGCCGAGGCTCACACAAGTCTAGTGGTAGCGACGACACCACCCGTGAGCGAGCCCGCTCACAGTCCGGCCGAGAGCGCCGAGCTTGATTCAACTCCCAGCACGAGCGTGCCCGTGCCGCCCACCGAGCCGACGCCCGGCCGTGTAAACGTCTTCCTTCAACTTGGACGGCATGTCAAGAAGACCGCCGTCGAGCTTCCGCTCACCATGAGTTCACTCCGTCTCCTATTCATGGAGCGGTTCGAGTACGACCCGGGCATGGAGGATTTTCCCGACGTGTGCATCAAGGATCCAAGAACAACTGTTCAGTACGAGCTTGAGGACATGGACGACGTCCGGGAAGGGTGTCTGCTCGTTCTGGACATTGAGCGTGAGTTGCACGAGGCGCGGACAGCTTCGGCCCGTGACTCCCGCATGCCGCGACATGCAATGCCACACAACTTACTGTACATACACTAACCCCAGCTCTCGATCAGGTGAAGCAACATTTCGACCTCAACTTCGCGTCACTCGCGCAGGACATCAAAGAGCTGAAGACGTCACTCGCCCAGTCGAAGCGGATGAGCACAACAGTACCGTCAGCGAGTTTCTTGGCCGTGTCGCCGGTGCTCACCGCCGCTCCGCAGCTGATTGACACACCACGCTCGCCGGTGCGGACTGGAAGCGGGCCTCCACCCGTTGCCGAGCTGCGGGCGCACTACGAAGAGGTGCAGAGTCTGCGCCGCGATCTGGCCATCATGCGCCAGCTTCACGTGGACTTCCTTGCGCAGACCAAAGAAAGCTTCACGGCGCTGCGCGCGCAGAACACGGCAATGCGCGAGGTCGTTAAGACAAAGATGGGCGGGAACCGCGCACTTCTGGACAACTCCAAGGCCAAGCTCGAAGGTCAATGCCAGGATACCATTCAGGCCGTGGAGGAGGTCAGCGACACGATCGATGGGGCACGCGAGGACGCGCTTCGGCGCGGTGTGACCCCACCGCGCGGCCACCTGGACAAGATCAAGGCCGATTTGGAGCGCGCGACAAGCCTCGTTGACCAGTTTGCGCGCGACGTCACGCTCGCCGAGCCAACGTGGCGCGCAACCTGGCTCGCCGAGCTGCAGCGCGTCACGGACGAGCAGCGCCTGCTGGCCTACCAGAACAAGTTGGCCACCGACCTCAAGAACGACATCAAGGACGCGACGGAGATGCTGGACAATGTGCGCGCGTTCGTTACGCAGCGCGCAGCACGCCCGCGCTTCCAGCCGCCACCGGCCGAGACGGGGAGCGTGCGCAATCTGCTCCTCGAGATCCGCACGAAAGAGAGCGACCCCTCGGCACGCCTGCGCGCCATCGAAGAGCAGGCGAAGGTGCGCGAGCGGCAGCTGGCGTCGCGCACCGACGAGTTCCAGGACGAGTTGGGCGCGTTTGTGCAAGGTAAGAAACTGCGCAAAACGGGCGGGACGGACGAGGCCGAGCGCGTGCGCCAGAGACGCCAGGACCAGGTCATCCGGCGTATGCTGAGTGGTGATGGGCCGAATGCGGGCGAGCCGCTCAGTCCGCAGATCACGGGGAGCAGGAGCGCGAGCGCATCGGGCGGCGCGGCTCCTGCAGGGGGGGCGGGGTGAGGTGTTCAAGCCTAGAGATGCAACTGCATTTGTGCATTACGCTGTCGTGACAATGTGATGTTGAGGAGAAAGGGGGTTACCACGGCGTCATACGTACGCTCGATAGGAATCTGTCGACGCCCCACGGATCAGCGTTGCTTCCAGCTCGTCAGTGTCTCCATGGTCTCCATCCTCCCATTACATGTCACAATGTTATATGGATACAAACGGCGTTCCGCTACGCCAACTCGGTCGTTTCACATGCCCGCGATGCAGGTATCTCATGGCTGTCGCTGAGTGCCGCCGACCTTCTTCTTCCGTCCCCCGCGCCTCCCATTCTTGCGATCTGCGGCGCCGGCGCCAACCTTTCCGCGTGCCTCCGCGGCAACGCCGCCCTTCGCCGAGTCGCACTTGACCGACGCCGCTTCCTCCGCCTCCAGCCCCATGGCGCGCCGCACATACTGCAGGGGGTTCAACACCTCGCGCAGAACCAGCTGGACTGGGCGCACCGTGACGGGGGACCCTGCGCAGCCGCGCGTGACCCTCGGCGACGGCGACGGCAACGGCACGGGCACCGCGACGTGCCGCGTCAGCGTGATCATGCCCTTCTTCTCGATGCCGACGGGCGGCAGCATCGCAGCACTTCGGGGGGTTTGTGATGCCCCAGGCGTTGCGTGGGTTTGTGATGCCGCAGGCGATGCGTGAGTGTGTGGTGCGACAGGCACAGGCGTTGATGCGAGGGGAGAGAAGCGGACGGACGGCGACCGCGGCCGTTCGGATACGACGCTCATCGAGCGTCTGTCGCGCACCGTGCCCATCATGCCCGTGCCCGACTCGGCGTCCGATGCGGCGTATGCGTGCACGGGCGCGTCGTCCTCCTCGTCCGTGTCGACTTGGTCGATCGGGCGGAAGAAGTCAGACGACCAGTACATGGTCATAGCCCGCTCGTCGGGGATCCCCATCCCGTTCGCGACCATCAGGGGGTCGCCTTTACGCCCGCGGCTGTCCGCGGGGGCGATGGGGAACGTGGGCTCCGGCGCGAGCTTTCGGGGGCCGCGGAAGGGCTGGATCTCGTGGCAGGTGAACAGGTACGGCAGCAGCGGGGCGGGGAGGGGAGGTATTGGCGCTGGGTCTAGCGTGATGGGACGAGGGGGGGCTGGGCGGCGCAGGCGCTTCTCGAGGCCGCGTTGTGGTCGGCCAGCTTTCGGAGTAGCGGGCGCTGGTAAAGGCTGAAGAGACTTGGTCGTGCGGAGGGGAGGGCGGTCGACGGGGCTGCCCGAACGTGAAGATGCGGCGTGGTCTGGTTCGTGTCCTCGGCCTCGTTTGCGACGGTCTTGATCGGGGCCGATGCCGGGGTCCAAGGCCATGGCGTCGAGGGGAGTGGCTGGACCAATGTAGATGGAGATGAGCGGAGATGAGTGGAGATGAAGATGAACCTGGAGATACTGTAGATTATCGATGGTTGAAGACCATATGTGGAGGTCGGTTACGCACCCATTCCGCCATCATTATCAAGAGCGGGATATAGCTAAGATCAAGCGATCGCAGCATTTCGCAACCACCGCAATCATCGCATCACCGCTCTGCTCACTGCACACTGCGCAACTGCCGCCCTCTCCGCTTGCACTCTATCCCCGTCACGGCCAGAGTATGGGACCAGATGTGCCGGTCACACGTGTGCTGGCCGCAACGTTCAAAGGTCAACTCCATAGGATATATGCTCAGATGAAATGCTCGGATACAGCCGCAACAGACAACTCCAGAAGCACCATGCTGCATCTAGTCGTCATAGACATTCAGTACACTGCACGACCGCCAAACACGTCCTCCGCCGCCCTGTCGAAAGATACCTGGTCAGAGGGTCGAAACACCACGCACCGCTCACACCAGCAGCACGTCCTCCTCCACCTCGAGCTCCTCCTCCGGGTTCATAGCTCCCACGCGCTGCAGCACACGCTCCACAACAATGGGCAAGATGCGCTCGCGCTCCCTCCGTTCACGCTCCTGGCGGCGCTTTGCCTCGGCACGCAGCCTTGCGAGCTGGCTTTCAAGCTGCTGGATTCGCTCGGCGCTCTCAACGAGTGCGCGGTTATTGCTCAAGTGCGTGCGGAGCAAGGAGAGCGAGAGAAAGATTGCGGTCGCGAGAAGGAAGATTGGAACCATGGCTCCTGAAGTCAGCACGTGAGGAGATGAAGTTGGGTGCGGGTCGGCTCTGCTGTGTACATGAGGGCAAGCCTGCTGGAAACAAGCTTCCCCGACTCGGCGCTCGCACATGACTTTCGAAGGCCCCGCGCCTGAGACAACGATAGACATTCAAGGACGCTGCACTCACCAGGAAACAACTCGCCGTACCATAGCCCGTACTGCGTGTTCTTCTTCTTGCCATCCGTGCCACTCCCACCATTTGGCTGCGGCCCAGCCCCACGACCGGGGACGAGCGGGGAATGAGGGTTGGGGACGGGCGCGCGGGCGGTTGGTGCGGAGTTGTGCAGCTGACGAAGGGCAGCATATGTTCTAGACGGTCCTGTCGAATAGGCTGCACCGAGGGGGTGGGGGGAGAAGGGCGCGCGAGGAGCCGCTCGGGGAGGGGTGAGAAGGGAAGTGGTGATGGAGCGGGTTGCCAGGAAGGGGCGACGGGATGCTCGTGCGAGCACGAGGGAGGGGAGTGACATGATGAGGGCGGCGCAAAGACTGGCGAGTCGGACGTGCAGCAATGAGGAATCAAGCGGTCGAGAACAGGGGTCGATTGAAGCGAGGGAGTGAGGATTCACGAAATGACGATGTGACTGACGACTTCTCAGAAGACGACAGCGGCGTTGCGACGGAACCAAAATTCGATTGCTCGCGGCATGAGCGACACGTGGGGAGGTACGACATCTCGAGTTCACTTCACAGCTTGCCCACGATTCCCCACCACCAACTTCGTCGTCGCTCTTCTGCTGCTGTACATGATCACCCGTATCATCACCACCGCTTCTCGTCGCACCCTCCTCAACCCCGCCTCATACTCTTCCCTCCCCCTCACTCGCACTCTGCACGCTTCGTCCACAATGGCCGCCCCCTACACTGTCGTCAACACCGAGAGTGAGGTTTCCCTCTGGTCTTCGGCCTATTCCCTCCATACTGACTGGCAGATGCCCCAGCTGCTATCGGCCCCTATGTCCAGGTGAGTAAACTCCCCAAGTATCGTGCAGCAGCTGCTGACTTCAAGGCCGTCAAGCACAACGGCGTGAGTGATTAGAGTCAGGCCGGGTGTGTCGTCAATCGGCCATGCCCACCTTGACTAACTGATTGTCCGATCGCCAACGCTGACTTCAGATGATCTTCGCGTCGGGCGCTATTCCCCTCGACCCCAAGTCGATGCAGGTTGTTTCTGGCGGAATCAAGGAGCAGACCGTGAGTTGTCTCGCCAACCGTCAGCGACAGTCAGCAGGTGGCAGTGAGCGTTGAGTAGATGAGCTCCAAGTGAGGCATCGGTCGGCCGCGGAGTGCTGCTGGCCGCACACTCGTCTGCCCCACGTTCGCGAATCAGCCCAGCACAGCGCACCGCATTCTGTGAATATGACTTGACGACGGCAACGCCCACCATTTGTCTGGTGGTGGAAATGGCATATGGAATGCCGTTGGAAATCGGAGCGGAATGCACACCTCCACTTTCGTGTCCTGAAGTGGGCATCATGTGCTGCCACTGACGACCAGGCCCAGGTCCTCAAGAACGTCTCGGCCGTCCTCGCCGCGTCTGGCACCGACAAGGCGCATGTCCTCAAGACGACGTGCTTCCTCAAGGACATGAACGACTTCGCCGACTTTAACACGCTTTACGCCGAGTTCTTTGGCGAGACCAAGCCCGCTCGCTCGTGCGTCGAGGTCGCGCGCCTCCCCAAGGACGTGCTCGTCGAGGTCGAGTTTATTGCCACTGAGAAGAAGTAGACTGTTCAAAAGTGTGCATGCAAAGACATGGTTAGTGGATGGTGCGGTTGAATAGTGGTTTCGACAGGCGACTGAATGTCGCGCAGTGGCTGCAAGGAGCCAGCCTCATCGCCCTATTACGTAACTGATCGGCCAATTCCACGTGCGTCACTCCTGCCGCGTGCCTCGCGCCTCTCATCCCCTCAGCACTTGCCTCCTAATTCAGAATCCCGGGTATCGACAACACCTTGACTCTGCAACACCACCTCGTCACCATGGACAAATGGGCTCCCATCGCCCCTTCCAAGCCTGCTGCTCTTTCAGGCTCGGGGCACGGCATGTTCTCGGGGTTTGGCTCGGTCCTCAAACCCCACAAGCCGGGCCCCTCCACGAGCGCAGCTGCTCTCGCGCGTGCGGGGCGACTTGGCCCCCGCGTCGGCCGGTGGCCCGAGGACATTCTTGTGCGCGTCGCCGGATTTCTCCCCGTGCACGACGTTCCTGCGTTCGCTCGGGCCAACCGTGCCTTGGCGCGCATCGCGCGCGACGAGACCAACTGGAAGGCGCGATGCCTCGTTCTGGGTGTCCAGCCTTCGACTAGTGAGATATCTCGAGACTCTTGCCTCGCGTTACGGCCGAGCTGACCAGCAGATCAGCCAGATCAACCAGACAAGGCGCCGCCGATACATATGAGCCGACCACAACAAGGCGCTAGCAAACCTCGGGCGAGCAGCACCTCCCGCCCGCGCGCCGTGTCCAACAATGACGACGACTTTGGAGACTTTGGCGAGGCTGGGGACGGCTTTGAAGACGTCGACTTTGGAGATTTCAGTTCAGCCACCAAGCCTGCTTCTCAAGAGAAGAACTTGATGAACTTGGACTCCATGCCTCTTCCATCGCACCCCAGCGCCGGGCGCGCAACCGGCTTCTTCGCGATCGCCCCACCATCACCGGCTCCGGCGCAGACCTCTGGTCCAGGCCAGTACTATCAGGCCTATAAGCGGCGGCATGTCGAACTTGCGCCGCTGTGCCACCATCTGCGCACATCGAGTGCGCCCAGTAGCACACTGTCTCTCCTCTTCCCGCCCAACGCAACCACTGGTCTGCCGCCAAGCCTTGAGGAGCAGAGCAAGGTGCTGCTCGACCTTCTTCACTTCCTCTCCCCGCAAGTGCAACCGCTGCACGATTGGGGATTTTTGCGGCAAGCTCTTCTTGCCGCCGCTGACCGCTTCGACTCTTCGTGTCTGGTCGCTTTCGAGATGGCCGACAGTCGCAAGGACGAGCTGGGGATGCGCACCGCTGCCAACGCAAGTTGGAAGGTGTGGGAAGCTGGGGACGGCCGCCGTGAAGAGTGGGAGTGTGGTCGCGTGTGGATTGAGAAGCGCGAGGTCTTCTACGAGGCGGGAAAATGGGATGCCGCGGAAAACATCATGTGAGCGCTCCTCTGTGGACGACACTGACGATGCCAGCAAGGTTCCGGACGTCACTGGCACAACAATTGTTCGCCAGCTAGACTTCACGCCGATGGACGCGTTCATGTCGCATGTGCTCGAGTCTTTCCGCATCGACGCTGAGCTTGCCGCGCGTGTGTTCCCGCCAGACGCCAAGGTCGTGTACTCGTTCAGCGACCGCGTTGCCATGGACGTGTTAGGCGAGTACATCAACACGCTGCTCGGCCAAACGAGAGTCATGTCCCCCGAGCTGTCCCTCCGCGCATCGGCTGCGTCGTTCGTGCAGGCGTGGAAGCTCGTCGACGTCTCCATGGAGGTACTCGGGGAAAAACAAACGGAGATCTCGCGTTCGTTGATCGAGAAGACCATTTTTTCAATGTTTGAACCAAACATGGACGAGTACCTGGAGGACGAGACCGAGTGGATCAAGACGGCCCTTGACGGAATATGCAACGACTGGGACAAACAGCTCGGCACCAGCACGCGCGCGGCGGGCAAGAAGCGACGTCCATCAAACAACCAGCCGCAGTTCCTCACGTCGCAGAACCCGGATCAGGTGAAGCGCAATGTGCTCGCCAGTTTCAAGGATGTCTTGCTGCTTCCGGTCACCATCGTTCCACGGACAGTCACATTTGGTGTCAACGCCATTGTCACTGGCGGCTCGCATGCCGTCCAAGGCCTCTCCATGCTCAACCCACAAAAGTGGGCGGCCTCGACGACGAATACCTCCAAGGGCATGCAGGGCAAGATGATCAACGGCGAAGTCGTCTTCGATGGACCAGTTCCCGAGGATGTGATCGTTGACGAGAAGCAGGCGGAGACAATGGAGACAACCAAGGCCGAAAGGGACGAGGTCGATATGCTGGCAGCGTCCAATGGCGACACCAACCTCACAGTTCCCCGAACCGACACGGCGCTATCATCACGAGGGCCGACGCCGCAGCAGTCGGGCGCAACCACGCCAAACCCAACGGGGAGGGACGACGAGTTTGAGCGCCTCCAGCTGCTCGTTTCCATCGACACGGCTCTCGAGCTCATCCATGCTGATCGCGAGTCCCTCAAACGTACAGAGACGTTTGTCAAATACCCTGGCAAGACGGGTTCCAAAGTGGTTGAAGCAATTGAGGAGGTGTTCATCCTCCTCCTCAAGGCTGTCGGCGACAGACACATTGCACCAGGTTTCAGGATGTGAGCTCTTACTTGACGGGGTGGAGAGCTGACTCCAGCGCCACACAACAGATGCTCACGTATCAGCCCGCCCAGCACGCGGAAACCACTAGCGTCGCGCCGCTGCTCCAGTTCTTCGAGCTTGTCCATGTCGGCGACACGATACAAAGCATGGTGCAGGTGTACTTTGACAAGGAGATTGCTCCGTACGTCGACAAGACCGATTTCCTGAATGCTGTCATGCGCGAAAAGAAGCGCTTTGAAAGCGTCCTTGACGACGCTGTTGCGTCCGGCCTCAACGCCGGCATCGAAGTTCTCATGAACCAGGTCGAGCACATCATCCAAGTCAAGACCGGGCCGCGCGAGTACTACCCCGAACCCGGGGTGCCGCAGGAGCTTGGCCCGACCGTCGGCTGTCGCGAAGCAATCGCATGTCTCGAAATGCACTGCAATCTGCTGAAGGGCAGCACAAGCAAGGAGGTTCTCGAGGTGTTCTACCAGGAAGTCGGCATCCGACTGCAGTCGTAAGTGTTGATTGCAGCGCTGGTGGCGGAGCAGGTGCAGGTCTGGTCCCTGCCGTCCTCTTACCGCCGCCATCGCGTCAGTTCCATCGGCAGTGCTCACTCCCTGCAGCATTCTCCAGCGACATCTGAAGCGGCAGATTATCTCACTTGAAGGCGGGTTCCAAGTGATCGCGGACCTCAACACGTACCACGCGTTTGTGGCATCACTCAAGCAACAGCGTATCACTGAGGACTTTGCCAACCTCAAGATGTTGGGGCATGTCTACATCGTCTCGGACGCAAAGGACCTGGCCCAAATCGTCCGCGACGTCACACGATATGGCGGCACGTTCAGGCCCGAGGAGTGAGTGGTGGTGCGGCACTCGCCGCCCGGGTGAAGATGGTGGTGATGTATGCTAACTAATCTCAGCATCTACGAGTTCATTCAGCGGCGCAGCGATTGGAAGAAGATCGAGAAGACTGTGGACAAGGCAATGTACGCACTGTCAGTCAAGGAGGATTGTGTCATCATGTAGTCTCTTCTATTCTTCTGTATGCATGCCATATGTGTCACCCAGAGACTCAGGATGTGCACCGCAGATGTAATGCAATCGATGATTACTAATGCGTTGTCTGGTTCGATCAAATGCCATAAGGCTCCAAATGATCGGGTCAAAGGCGGGCGGCAACGGCAGACCCCGCGGGGTTTGCCGGCGGAACAGAGGCGGGGAGATGCACACATTCCCCTCGCTTCATCTATCACTCGTCACATCTCCTACACCATCCTCCCCCACTTCGAGTTGCTGCAGCTGCTCCAGGTGTCCACCATCCACCATGAACGACGCAGACACTGCACCACTAAGCCACCAGCAACAACTCGACCAGGACGCCGCCCACAAGGAGAAGCAGAAGCGTGGGTATCGCGCATGGTAAGTCCACCCGCGTCGGCTTGCGACGAGCATCTTCATTGCTCCCACTGTGCACTTCATATCCTGACGGAGAAGCCTTCATTGCCGCGGGCGCAAAGCCAAGTGCGATCTGGTGAGTGGAGCCGTGAGGGGGTTGCTGGCGTGAGAGAATGACTGCTTCACCTGGGCCGCAGGTTGGGTGGGAGGGGGCTCCCATGAATGCTTGGAGGATCAGATCGACGTGGAGTAGAAGAGATGGGGAGCTTGATGCAACCACGAGACCGCCATCCCCCTTAGCCGGACGGATGGTATCATGCGGGACCTCTGAAGTTGCACTCGTTCTTCCACTCCTTGAGAGTGCCGCGCCTCGCACTATTGATGACACAGACTAACCTTAAGGGAGACATCGACGCGCCTTCGGATCCCCCATGCTCGCGCTGCCGCCGTGAAAAGCGCGAGTGCATCTTTGCGCCCTCTCGACGTGGCGGCAACAATGCCAAACGGAGGCGTGAGACGGACGATGCGGGGCCTGAGATCGGCGGAAGTGGAGCCCGCTTCGACCAGCAACCCATGCAGCAGCAGCAGCCCTCATACCCACCGCCACCACACGTCGATGTGCTGAATCCTTCTCCCAAGACGGATACATACCTGTTTAATCATCCGTCTGCGTCGAGCAACGACCTGTCGCCCGCGACAACCGGGGCCAGCCCGCGAATGCCCCAGGCGCATATCCAGTCCGCAAGTGTCGGCAGCTCTATTGGAGGTGGCGGCAGTAAAGCTGCGCCGGGTGACACGAAGCGCCGACGCTTGCATCTCAACCCTCCCCTTCACACGTCAGACCCGAGTAGTATCGTCGTTGCCGACGTCCAGAACGAGAGTGATGCGCTCCACATCCTTGCTCTGGCGAGCGCTCACCGACCGCCGTCATCTGGAGCCAAAAGCCCAAGGCATCGACCTCAACGTACCGGGACACTTACGCCGGAGCAGCGCGTGCCTTTAGCTGCTGCTCGCATCGAAGACTTCGCGCTGGTGCGCCTCGGGATCGTCGATGAGAGTCAGGTGTCGCGGTTGACGTCGGCGTTTTTCCTCTACTACCATCATCTCTTCGTGAGTGAATCAGGCCCCGGCAGAGCTAATGTAAGCCTATGGTACCGGCCGACCGAATACCGAGGACGCCTGAGCGTCTCGCCGAGTTTGCGCGCAGCGAGCGCTATCTCGTGACCGCCATGATCATCATTGCGAGCAAACATGATCGGACGGAGGGGATGCGTGAAGTCCATGAGCGTAGCTGGTCACTTATGCGGGGGTGGATTTCAGAAATTGTCTGTCTGGGCGCACCGCCAACTGTCGGTCTGGTTGAGGCCCTCCTGCTCCTTGCAGAGAACCTACCACGCGACCCACCGGTCGAGGCGCCCGATCCTGTCCACGCGCAAGGTTTTGGTGAAGAGGTGCACACCTCTGAAAACCGGCAGGCTTGGATGCTCATCGGAATGGCCATTCGTTGCGCGTACGGGCTTGGTATTGACAAAGTGAGTTGAAATGGCTGAGCTTCCACTGATACCCTGCTCGCGCTCAAGCTCATTCCGGAGGTCGACCGCACATACGACGTGGAGCGGGCCCGATTAGTCTGGACTTGTGAGCCACTCCCGGGGCAGCATCTGACGCATAGATTGCTACCTCTTTGACCGCCATGTCTCGCTACGATTGGGCAAGGCGTTCTGGTCGCGCGGACCAAATGTCTGCTTCCAAGGCTTCTCGGCCTCATCGCAGACGGGGCCGGCTGCCGCGCCGGGCAACTTTCCTTTCTTGCGTGAAATCACACCGTCGCCTGGCGCGCCAACAGACGCACCATCACAGGAGGATTTTGCCTCGCTAGTCCAGACGTACCTGGAGCTCACACAACTGATGAGCAATGCGCACGACATTCTGTACCCCAACGCGGCTCGCACGCGGTCACTCGTGATCTACGGCGAGTACTTCAAGTATATCGATGAGCTTGCGCGATCGCTGGACGGCTTCCGCATTCTCTGGAACGAGAAGAAATGGAGCTTATTTCCGCTTAACGACGCGGTGCAAGCCATGTTCTACTACACACAGCTCTACATTTGCGCCTTCAGCTTCGTGAGTTTGTCTTGAATACGTCCAACACCCCCGCTGACGGAGAGCAAGCACATGTTGAGCGTGCCGCCATGCGCGCGGAAGAGGAGTACAAACTGCACGAGGGTGGGCGTCGGCCGCCACTGTCGCTGTTTCCACGCGGCTCGGCCGCATCGCCAGACGCGCGCTACATCAACGTCACGATCATGTCGGCTGAGGAACTGCTGCGCATTTGCATCGACCGCATGTACAAGGGTGGTGCCTTACCGTACCTCCCGAACCGCTTCCTGCTGTGGTTCACATACGCGGCGATCGTGCTTCTCAAGGCCATGTACTCTGGGGCAATGAGCCGTACCGAGCTACCGGAGGCGGCGAAGCTGATCGACCAGCTGTGCGAGTGCCTCATCGACGCATCTCCTGATGGCGACCACCCTGCTGTGCGCTATGGACTCCAGCTGAAGTCGCTCAAGAAGAGCATGGAGGGCCTGGGGACTAGCGCGAGTTCCCCGGCGGGCGGCGGCACGGTACCTCTTCCCCCCGCGGTTGGCGATCTGGTTCAAGACCATCGCGACATTCGCGAACCCAGCCGTGCCGCAAACGTGCGCGACTCTCGCGACGTACCAGATCTCGAGACCGCTGCTCAGCAAGGTGTCCCATGGCTCAACGAAGAGCAGTGGTTCCCCACGCAGAGCGCGCCACCTCACAATCCCATCAGCTTCACGTACTCGACACCTGTCGGGGTCGGACGGCCTCACGAACAGCCCGTGAGCGAGGTTATCAATCTCCAGCCCCGGGGCAGCATCGGAATGGGGGTTGATGAGAACCTCGGCTTCCCAAGCTTCGACTGGCTCGGGCTCGATCAAGGGAATGGAGGGGTGGGCGCGGCACCGCAAGCCAATCCATTCGACGGGGTGGGGTTCACACCAGACTTCTGGATGAAAGTCACGCCGGGGGAAGGGCAAGGCGGGTTCCCCTTCCGTTAAGACTGGGGGAACCTGTGGCACCTCGCAATGGGGCGACGGTAAGGAGGATCAGGTCAGCGCGCCAGTGGAAGCGGCGCTGGGCAAGCGGCGCTGGGCAGATGGCCCAGAGGAAGTGAGGTTAAGGTTGGCTGCATGGGAGTGTCTCTTTTGTACGTGCCGCTATCATTGTGCCAATCGCGTTTGGTTGTACTCATGCATCTTGTTGTTTGCCCAATGACGTGAGACCTCCATCATGAAAGGTGGCGTTTTTTTAAGGTAATGGACCCGAGAGACTTACAATGTGGTACTGGGGACCCCTCATAGCCCGTCGGGTCCAACTGTTTACGCTCCCCGTCTCGTTGACTCGGTGGCGTCCCCATACACGTCGTGTAATCGTGTGGACTGAACTCCATTCTCCCCTAATACTTCTATCTGCCCCAACCCAGCGGAGGGTCTTGGTTCCGCGGACTTTTCCTCCGGGTCGCAGGAATCCCATCCCCGCCTGCCCGAGCTGTATCGCTGGACTGTATTGCCCTACACCGGCTCGCCACTCTCGCTGCGGGCTTTGTGCGCCTACTTCGACTCCTTCTTTGGGCGTGCGCCAAAGATGCGAGTGCCGACGCGTACCGAGCTGCTGCCCTCACGAACGGCTTCGGCAAAGTCGGCACTCATCCCCATGCTGAGGTCGAGGTTCCCCTCATCGATGCCGAGGATGCGGGCGAGATGCTTGCGACTCTCGCGCAAACGCTGGAAGTCGGGGTTCTCGCCCTCGGCATGCGATGCTTCCCAAGATCCGATGGTCATAAGGCCGATGACTTTCAGCTGCGGGCAAGAGTCACGGATATGGATAGCGAGGTCCGCGAGCTCAGCGTCGGGCCCAGAGTCGGCTGTGAGAGGCTCAAGGCCGCTCTTGGCATCTTCCCCAGACGTGTTCACTTGCAGGTAGACACTAAGAACACGAGACGGGTCCGTCTTCGCCAAGGCGTTTTGCAACTTGTCCGCCAATTTACGGCTCGCCAGAGTCTCGAGAACGAAAACGTTGGGAATCGACGCCAACAAGTTTGCTTTGTTCGATTGCAGCGTCCCGACGAAGTGCCAGCAAATGTCGCGAGGGAGCTTGAGTCAGTCAAGCCGCCATGCAAGTAGCGGAGGTAGTGGTCTTGCCCTCCTCAGTCCCGCCGCACCACGCCCGTCTCACATCTCGTGCCCGCGCTCCCAACCCGGACATCTCGAGCCAGATTTTCGCGACATTGGGCTGCTGGAGGACCACATGCCTGGAGCTGGCCCCCATAAAGCTAAGGTGTGGGCGACAGTTTCACCGCGCTTTGAGCAGGAGGCCTCGCTGAGCTGAACCCCTTGCAACCATCAACTCGCTCTTAAGTGTCCCAGACATTTAAAGCGACCCGCTGTCTGTCTCTTCGCTTCGAGTACCGCCCCACCTGCCCATGTCGCGGCAGATGCGAGGCCCCACCGTACATTTCAGATTAGTTGCCGCGGTAACCTGAGCTGAGCCGTTTTAAGGAGTTGAGGCCCAAGTGGGGCCTCACGCCGATCAACAAGCTCACTCTCCCCTGTTCCATCTACCACCTTGCAACTCCTGTGCGGATCCCACGACCGGTGCTCGAGGCAGGACTCACCAGCTGAGCCTTCTCCGCCATCTCCTGGATGTAGTTCTCGCCGAAGTGCCGATGTCCTGCGTCATATAGCGCCTGAATGTCCGATGGCGGCTTGATCTTCGAGATGGCAACGAGGCGGGGCTGGGGTCAGCGCGGAAATTAGACTCATGTCGCGGAGATGTTGCCAGCTGGGCATTGCTCGACTTGTCCTGCAACCCCTGGGATTCGATGGCGGAGCTCATCGACAGCATCGAGGATGCGCCGTCTCATCTCCTCGCCCTAGGCGGTGACGCCTTTCCATGCCTTTCTCGAACCGCGGACGTTTACTTGGAAGGGGACGTGCCCACCATGACACGGCACTTTCGAAGCCGAGAGGCTTGACCTCATGCTCCTCCCGGCCCGCAGACCTGGCATCCTCCTCCGATAGAAACCCTTGGCTTACTCCTTTCCAAGGTGATCAAGTCCAGAGTTACTCACAGACGAACCGGCCGGTCTGGCAGCAGCGATTTCCTTCAGCACGTCCTTGACGTTTTCAGCGAGCTCTGCGCCGCGCTGGGGGTCGTATGCGAGGGATGTGTCCATGGCGGGGCGTGTACGGGGGTGGGTGTCGGAAGCGAGGCGAACGTGTTTGAGTGAGTGACTGGGGAGCTGCCGGAGAAGTGAAGAACGCAACAAGACGGAGCGCATGACCAAATGTCAAGAGGTGAGACGACATTGGAGTCGAGCGCGGAGGCATTCCTCACATGCACCGGAGAAGTGGGGCAGCAACAGTTGTTGCGAGGGAAGGCCACGTGTCATTCCGCCAGGTTGCGTCACGTCGATCGGTCGATCACCATCGTGTTGATGCCTCCCTGCCACTTGTCACTGCATTCTTCATCATGTCGCACGTCCTACCTCCATTCTATTTCTACTTCTTCTGGCTTGTCGAGCCGGTAAGATGCCACGCTCAAGCTTGTTGACTGACAACAGGGCCTGTCCGTGGCGGGCGCGCTGTACGCCATCTTCCGGCCAGAGACGTATGCGGCCGATCTTCTGCCGGTGGGCCTCGAGCGTATTACGCAGGTCGTGGGAAACACCTTGCGCGGTCGGATGCTCTGCGGCCAGCTCGGCAGCTGTGAGTCTGCTTTGTCGTTGATCTGTCCCCTCGCTGGCTGTCTTAGGCCTGGGACTGCTGTCCTTGCATAGAGTTTGTACCTAGTGCTTCCTGAGGCAGCGTCCGCAGTGTCTGCCACAGCGTCTTCGGGTCTGCCACAGCATCTTGGGGCTTCCCACAGCGTCTTTGGCCCTGAGGTCTCGGGAAAGGCATCCACCCGAGATACGCGCTCTAGGGAGAGGCTTTGGCATAACCACGCGTTTTGCAGTTGCTGACAACAGGCTTCCTCGTCCTCGCGATGAACTCCTTCTCGCTCTTCCCGGTATTTAGACGCCAAACACCGGTACTTTGCGAGCAGCTCACACGGGCGCTGTTGGTCCCACTCCTCATCGGCGATTTCACCCAGTGCGCTGTCATTTCAGCAGAACTGATCCCAGCATCGCACTCACACTGGCCGCACTGCCGTACGAGCTCGTCTTGGAGCCATGGAACTGGACGCAGCTCATCCATGGCAACGTCAACATTACCTGGGGTTTGGTGTTCATTCGGTACGTTTGCTACTGGCTGCAGATGCGCACGACGCCGAAGGTTCGGGACGTTCTGACGTGAAGCACGCTTTGGCTCCTTGGTGTGGGTCGCCAGTCACCTCTCGCTCCTGAGGCCCAACCCAACAAGCACGCAGCCGGACTGCCAGCCAAGCTTAACAAGGCTGAATAGTCAGTCTGACTTTCAAAGCGGGCTCCCTCCATCTAAAGTAGACACTTTGCATCCGGAAGCTTATGAATGCATCACCTAAGATATCTACAAATCTTGCACTGACCCTTCCTGCTAGAGGTAGAGGTCGTCGTCATCGTCGTCATTATGGTAGCGATCGGCAGAATGGCCGCTCTCTGACCCCTCATCATCTTCGTTGCTATCAGACGAATCGTGCTGCTCGGCGACACGGCGGTTTACCCTTCTTTGAAACTCCTCACTCTTGCTCTCCATGTCGTACCATGCCGGGTACATTGCAGCCAGCTCCGCGTAACTTGATGCACTCGACGTCGTGTCCGGGTTTGTAGATTGCGACTTTGTTTCCCCTGGGATACTGGGCCCAGCGGCAACATTAGACATTGACCGAGTAACACGAGTTGACGGGCGATGTGGCGAGAGTGTTGGCGTTCGAGAAACAGAGGGGTCCGCTGGTGCCGCTGTTGACCCCAACTGAGGACTTTGATCCGCTTTTCGTGGACGGCCAGGTGCGCGCTTGATCAGCGGCGTGGGGGTACCAACACCTCGCTGCGATCTTCTACGCCCATCGGGTGGCGGCGGATGGAGCAAGTCTGGCACCGCTGCCACCGACTTCAGAGCCAATGTGAGGATGCGGTCGCTCTTGCGCCTGTCGGTCGTCGTTGTCGACTCGTCCGGAGGAGGCTTTGGACGGTTTTTGCTTCCCTTGGGTCGGCCGGGAAGGCGTTTCGCGGGGATCTCTTGCTGGGTTTGAGGCTCGTCGCTGCCGGTGCTCTCATCGGTCGTCGTTGTGGACTCGGCGGCAGCAGGCTTCGGATCAGCAGGAGGCTTCGGTCGTTTGGCGGGAGCCTCTTGATGGGTTTGGGGCTCATTGCTGCCGGTGCCCTTATCGGCCATCGTTGTGGACTCGGCGGCAGCAGGCTTCAGTCGTTTAGCGGGGCCCTCTTGCTGAGTTTGAGGCCCATCGCTGCCGATGCTCTTAACGGTCGTCGTTGTCGACCCGTCGGCAGGTGGCTTTGGTCGGTTTTTGCTACCCTTGGGTCGACCGGGACCACGTTTGATGGGAATGTCTTGCTGGGTTGGAGGCTCGTCGCTGCCCGTTTCGTCGGGCTCCTGTTTAACAGTGACCTCTTGGGTGTCATGAAGCTCATCGACGTCCTCCGTATCGGAATCCTGAGGTATGGGCTCCGGAGGGTCGTTATGAGTGACCCACTTGGGTCCCAAACGTCGGGCAACTTGCTCAGATCTCAAAGGGCCAGGTGGATCCATGGACGCGGTGGGCGTGGTCCAGGAAGTCGGTGCAGTCGGCGTAACAGATTGCGTGGGAGCGACCGTGGTCGAAGACTCTGCTATCTTGAGGGCAACCATCCCGTTGAGGTGTGCAGCCGACGCGGGGGGCGCCGGCAGAGGTTGCTTTGGAGGGCGTCCACGCTTCCTCTTGATGGGGGCGCCAGCATCAGTGGGAACGGGGGGCAGGACTGGCGCCGCGAGGGGGGCAGCAGGCTCGGTGGGGCGGGCTGTCTCGGACGCAGCAGTTGGTCCAGTAGGAACAGTCGGAGGGGGTGGCTCGTTCAGGGGTGCAACTAGCGCGGGGGGTGTGGGCAGAGGATGCTTTGGAGGGCGCCCACGCTTCCTCTTGATAGGAGCCGCAGCATCAGTGGAAACAGTCGGTTCGGGGGGCGGGGCGGGCGCGGTGAGGGGGGCAGGTTCGGTGGGACGGGCTGTCTCGGAAAAAGCAGTTGGTCCTGTATGACCGGTCAGAGGGGGTGGTTCGGTCGAAGAGGCTGGCTCAGTCCCAGAGGCTGTCTCTTTGGATGCTGACTCGATGAGCAACGCTGGTGGGTCAGAGGGACGAGCCGCGTTGGTCGAGCGAGCAGAGGGCGCGGTGGGAGCGGCTCGCTCACTAGAATGGCCAAGCTTGGCGGTAGCAATTGGCTCAGCAGGAGCGGCGGCATCAGTGAGAGCAGCCGACGCACGCAGGTCGGGTAGTAGAGACGATTGCGCAAGTCTGCTCGGGAGTTTCTTGAGGGATGGGGGAGCGCTCAAACTCCCCGCTGGGGCGGTATTGTTCATTTCGGACGAGATTTGTCTTCGTCGACCAGGAGAGGGTATCTCAATGCAGTCAATGGTCTGTCTGACGCGGGGCGGTGCTGTCCTCGAGGTCTTGATCGAATCTACGCTGCTGGTGTTGACATGTCGGCGTGGGGTAGCAGGCGGGCCAGCGTGAGTCTGCTCTTGCTGCTCCGTGACACCGGTGCGCTTCGCCCCTCGAATGGAGTATCGAGTTCGCTTGTGGTCGTCCTCCTCGTCTTGCTCCCCTTCACTCTCCTCTGAAGGCGGTCCACGCTTTTGGGGGAGGACACGAGTGAGGGCAGCTCTTTTGCTCTTCGACGGACCAGGCTGGGTAGACACATGTTTGCTCGAGGTGGGGTGGGCAGTAACAGCGACAGGACCTGGGGGTTGATCGTGTCTTGAGCCAGCAGCCGGGGATGGCTCGGCGGCCACCTCAGCTTCCTCATGGGCGGCTGGCTGCTTGCCCTTCCCCTTCCCCTTCTTGTTCTTTGGTATGCTGCGCCTCCCGGACGAATGGTCGGGCAGACGGGGGTCATCACCTTCGGCAGAACCTCCAGCATCAAGCTGGCCGAGACGTTTGGTTTGATTGTGCTGCAGGTTGGCGAGCTGCTGGTCCACGGTTTTCTCCGGGACGACTAGATTATTGCTGTTGTTGAGATGACCTCGCTTGTTTGCGGTCTGTGAGGGAGTTCCAGAGACGGGGCCAGCAGCGTCTAGCGTCTGGAGCTCAGCGGCAGCTGAGAATGCGGGATTGATGATGTCGGCAGTAGCGTTCTGCGCTGGTGCAGTGAACGGGTCGCCCTCGAAGTCGCGTATGCCAGGATCTTCTCCGGGCCAGTTCTGCTCGACGTGGATTAAACGGGTGTACTGCAGGACGTCGTCTAAGGACTGCAAACCGGGCCGCCATTGTTCGGCCATAGCGGCGCGCAGTACGTTCACGTCCGGCGGCGGCATCTTGGGGATCTTAATGGCCGGCTCACCGCGAATGTATGAGGCGCCGCCCCCGATGTGGCCGGTTTCGGCCGTGTCGTCCTTGTCCTCGCCACCTTCAGTGCCTTCAAAGATGTCCGTTCCCTCGGGGGTTTCAACGTTGGTGGAGTGATTCGGGGAGCCTCGGTTGTCAGCGTGTTTCGCGCCGCATGTATCACCTGCACTGTCGCTCGTGTTGCCGTCGTTGCGATATGCGCCGTATTGAGCGCCGTCACCATTGACGCCTATTTCGCGTCCTGTACCCCAAAAGTCGTCGTCAGAGACTCGGCTGCTGCTACGGCCCTCGTCGCCGAACATTGATTCGACGCCATTGTCGTCTCCGAAGGGCTCGCAGTCAGAGGGGAACAGTACCTCATCTTCATCTTCCTCCTCGGACAAGTCAAGCAGTCTCGGGGCAAATACGTCGGGTTGGTCATCATCGTCCTTGTCACTGAACGGGTTGCGACAGGAGCTGTCATTGCCAGGTGTCGTGCTGACGGAACGTTCTCCCCAAAACGGGAAGCCCGTGTCCGGCATGTCTTGCGACTACGCGCGCTCTTGCCAGCTTGATGTCGAGGAGCTGGGTTGAATATCGATGTAGTGTGTGCTGGGAGCTGGGAAGCGTGAAGCAATTGGGTGTGAAAGTTTGCTGGTTGGAGGAGTGTTTGGTTATAAGGAAGGTCGGTGCGTGGATGCTCAGTGTAGGGACGGGAGGTGCGGTCAAAGCGCACTGCGTAAACAAATTCCTGTGTGACACTGATTGGCTCCATGCCGTGCAGCGGGACACTCTGCCCCACTTCAATGTGTAGAAATTCAGTTTGAGACAAAAGCTCCGCTGTGTGACCGCGCGACCAGCTGATGAGCGTTGATGATGAGTCGTCTTCAGCGATGGCCTCATGAGACACAGCCACGCCTTGGGTCAACTTCACTCCGTATGCTCCCTTTCCCACACCATTCCGCCATGGCAAGCCGATCCTGCACCCATCTCTTCTCAAGCGCCCAAGTCGCTTGCCCGAATCGTTCCGGTGTTCGGTGTGGAAACACGCCATGCGCCCAGGGCCGACACTCACGGAAGCGTGACCCATGCTGTCCCCTCTCCCCACCGCCTTGCGATGCATGGATCACGTCTCGGAATACTCTTGACTGCGCCCACCACCACGACACATCTTCTCTATGAGCAGTTGGCTACGTCCATTTAGCCCTGCCGTATGTACATCCACCACCTCCACCCTTTTGCGCCTCCACCAGTGCTGCCTCCTCTTCACACCCACCTTTCACTCCTTAGCCTCCACCTTTCTGTACGGTGCAAGGCCTGACAACCGTTTTGTACAATTAGTGTGTGATCTCCTAAATATGTTCCTTCTGTTGTAATATCTCGGAACCATAGTACAAAAGCAAAGAGTGTAGTAGCTAAAGAACGTACGAGAGTGGGGTGGTGTCGGGGTATAATTGAGGGCCGCTCGGTCACTCGGGGTAGCCGGCATTGTGGCCTCGAGGACGCCGTTGAACGAGAGTCCAATGTGGTTAAGCCAGCGCTCGATGCCAGAGTGGGTATCCTTGCTGGCAACCTGGGGATATGGGAGTTCGCACATCTCCGCTGGTCCCCAAGCGTGATGTGAGCGAGCGCGGTGCGAGCGAGCATACCGACCAAGGACCGTACATGAGGTCGAACTGCTCGAGCGTACACGGACAAGGCTTGACGTGCCATGTGAAGAGTACTGATGATCCATTAAAGAATGGCAGAGGATATATATGGAGACGTACAAAGAAATTGTATGAGCGGTATGAGCAGTACAATGCAGATAAAGAGATTGCTACTGAGTAAGGGGAGCTGATCCCCCTTATGTAGCTGGGGTGAGGTAGCAGGAGCGATGCACAGATCGGGGTGGGGCGTTGGAGCCTTGCTATCAAGAAGCAAGCTGGGTTGAGCCTGTCGGGATGTGCAGGTTCATACAAGTGTCCTCGACATGAAGCGGTGCCAGCAGCCTAGAGCATGTGCATCATGTCATGGGTGCTGTCAGGCCTTGCACCATACAGAAAGGCAGACACTAGGGAGTAGTTGAGCACAAAGGTGTCCATCCACCAGATGAAGCTCCACCACCCTAATGACTTCAAGTTGATAACTGTGATAGATGTGCAATCAAACTATCATACTATGACAGGGTGAGAATATGGCCAGTATCAAGAGTTAAGGGAAAAGGATTCTAGACATTGCCGTATATGTGACGATACGATGTGGGAGGTACTGAGAGTGTTCGATATTGATGCGGCAATTGATTGTGGAGCACCCTATGATCAGGATGTGGGTTATCACATGGAAGATGCCACATGATTGACACATGTGGTCGGTACTTGGTGAGTCATTGTCAGTCAGATTGTCACAGGTGCCAAGCAGTGACACAATATCAGATCAGCTTGCTGTTGTCATTCTCATGCAGCATCCTCAACTCTAAGTGTGTTAGTTGCAGGGTTGCGTGCCAGTGTGTGAGTTGTGCTGCCCTTGTGTTCGAGCTGCACATGGGGCATGGGATCTGTTGTTAGGGGTGACTGTGTGCATCCTTGTGGTTCTGTGTGCGCCCAATAGGCATCACCAAGGAGGAGAGCAAACAGGGTTGAGGGTTGGTACATGGCTGGCTCTGGAGGGGATGTGAAGTCCAAGATGTTGAAGGTGGTGTAAAACAATTCAAACAGGTCGGAAGCGGGTTCAGACAGGTCCTGGCAGCTGAGGCAAGGCCCTGCGCTGCATGGAGAGGGGAATATGTCACACTGCGCTTCAGACCTGTTTGATATGTAGAGGGTGGAGAGTGGTCAAGCCAAACAGTATCCGTACACCAGATGAAGGTCTACCACTCTGATTACTCAAACTAGATAACTGTGATAAACATGCAATAAGACTATGAGGTGTGGTGAGCCTGATCCACCCGATCCATGACCTTCCATGGAGACCCCTGTATGTCTGCTGTCAGGCCCTGCACTGTATGGAAAGGCAGATGCTGAGAAGTGGTTGAGGACAAAGGTGTCTGTACACCGGATGCTGCTCCACCACCCTGAGGACTCGAAGTCGACAACTGTGACTATGGTACTATGATGGGGTGAGAATATAATGAGACTTAAGAGTTAGAGGAAAAGGATCCCAGACATTGCTGTGTATGTGACGATGCAATGTAGGCAGTACTGACATAGGTACTGATCAGTACCGCGATGCTGCAATGAACTGTGGAGTTTCCTATGATTGGAATGCCTGGTTATCGTGGGGATGATGCCATGTAGTTGCCATGTGTGGTGTGACGATCTGAACGACAACGACCACCAAGCACTGACTACACATGTCAACCATGTGGTATCCACCACGCGATAGCCACACATCACGATCACAGGACGCTCCACAGCTGGCAGGGAAAGGTGTGAGACGAGGGGGCATGATGAGGAAGATAGAGGGCGTGAGGCAGGAGTGACACACTCGGGCGCTGGTACTGTTGTGGACTGGGTAGTAGACGAGAGAGACGTATGATCCATCGATAGAGCTACAGGGCAAGCAGGTAGCCTCTATATATGGTGCTTAGGGCGAGGGCATGGATAGAGAGTGTTGTGGGAACCTTGGAGAGGGGTGACGTATCGTGACAGTGCGTGTGTCAGGTGACGGAGAAGGAGGGGGCGATGTGAATGAGTGAAATGTTGGGTTGCGGGCATGTCAACAACTCATGACGGTGTCGGTACTGATCGGTACCCATGTCGATACTGCTCACATCACATCGTCACATATACAGTGATGTCTATGATCTTTTCTCCCAACTCTTGATACTTGTCATATTCTCACCCCTTCATAGTACCATAGTCTTATTGCATGCCTATCACAGTTGTCGACTTCGGGTCCTCAGGGTGGTGGAGCGGCATCTGGTGTACAGACACCTTTGCACTCAACCACTCCCCAGCCTCTGCCTTTCCGAACGGCACAGGGCCTGACAAAAACACACAACACACAGCGCTCTCTCTTGTCTTGGGCAGTCCAGCCCTCGCCCTCGGTCTCGGCCTATCCGAGTCGCACCGGGCACGTCCAAGTCGCATAAACTTGGTGCGCCCCTGGCCCCTATCAATCTGCATGTGACACAATACGCTGAGGAAGCGAGCGGGGTGCCAACAATGACGATAAGCTAGTAAGCACTCATGAGGTCCGCAATCGTTCTCTATCACCCACATCCTCATCCTCACCCTCATGACATCTCTGCTCCTCCACTTTCTCTCCTCCTTGACATCCTCTCCCTCTCCACCTCATTCATCCACCATCTTCCTCTTCCTGGCACGCAAAACCGTTTGCTTGTCATGAGTCTGCATGTTTATGTCTTCTGCACAGTGCTGCCTGCTGACATCATTGCCGTCACCACTCACTGCGCACACCAACGCCGTCATCACCACCGTCGCTGCCGCCGCCGCCTCTCACCCTCTGCTCCCTTTCTAACTCTCATGATTTCCTGATGACAGCCTTCGGTCATTGCAGGCGCTAGCGTTGCCACAGTCGCCACCATCGCCACCTTTCCTCCCTCTCTCTTCGTCCCTCCTTCCCTTCCTCCCTTCGTCACTCTCAACAATGTCTTCTCCTCCACCTTTCCCCTCACTTCCTCCCCGCAAGAAGAAGGCCAAGCCTGCCCCTCCCTTCCTCCCCGCAAGAAGAAGGCCAAGCGTGGGCTGGCCTCAGGGCCGACTCGCTCAGGGCACAACAACGTCCCCAACAGCGACATCCTCTACGACGACTACGACATCCTCAAGGAGGAGGACGACATCCTCAAGGGAGGACGACATCCTCAAGGAGGACGACGACATCCTCGAGGAGGGTTCCTCCTTGTCGAAGAAGCGCAACAAGTGTGCCATGTGTAAGTCACTCAGCGGAGCCCGCCTTGACATGCTCATCGAGAAAATCGCTAGCTGCAGGCCTTATGAGGGCTCCCTTCACAATGTCATCAAGGAGGTGCTGAAGGGTGAGGCATCCTCGTCGACGACTTTTGAGACTAGCCTTGACCAGCACGGCCGTCTGCTGCACAACATCGCCAGCAACTGCATCAATGACAATGAGACAAAGTTGTGGCAGGTGATTCTGAGTTGGGCTCTAATGGGCACTGGTGGACGCCATCGCCTTCTGTCACCAGTCCACCTTCACTCACTGCAGGCCATCTGTGCACTCCGCCCCGGGACGTTTCTGGAGCACAGCGAGCCCTGCTCCATGTGTCTAGTGGCGGGCAATGAATGCTGTTTATACAACACCAATGCCACCAAGAAGACCTGTGTGATGTGCACGAAGCACAGAAGGTGTGCAGCAACAAGGCCCCCTACAATGCAGCAGTTCAACAAACTGCCTTCACGACTGCTGTCGGCACGGCAGCAGGTGCTCAGCCGGCGAACGCTACCATCCTTGGCAACCTGCATGACCAGGTCTCGTTCCCGCAGCTGATGCCCATTGGGAAGAACTCAAGTCGCGGCGGACCGTGGCATGATTGTGACGCCGAGCAGATGCGTGAGCTTGATCGTGATGAGAGCTGCGCCCAACGCCATATTGAACGTGCTCGCATGGCTGGCAATGGCAGGGGCCTAGGCAAAGGCAACGGCGACGGCAGAGGCGACCATGCGGCTGCTCATTGAGGTGTTTAGCCATCTATAGTTATGCTTTTTGTTGTACATAATTGATACCAGCCATCATTTCATATTGACTGTGTCCATTATTATTTGCGATCTGAATCCACTACAGGCAGGCTGAGACGGAGTTTGCTACTTCCCATGTGCTCAACTGATGTCCCCAGCAGTTGCAGCCCCACGCAATCTTCTTGTGTCTTGACTGCCTTCACTTGTGACCGTGCAGCCACCTCCACGGGGGCGTTCATTTGTATTTCATGGTATGCAATCTGTTGTCATTGGAGGTAACCTGCACGACCCATGCTGCGACCTGTGCGAAAAGCCATGGGCCGGTGGGGGCTGACTTGAAATTTCTTCAGGTGCAGGCATGGGATTCTCAACTTCAACTTCACACTCTTCATCCCCTTTTGCTGCTCCTGTGCTTTCCGCTTATACTCTGACAAACAGCTCAGATGGAGGCTGACCCTCGATAAGGGCAGACTCCCACTGCTCACTCACAGCAATACTCAATGCTCACAACTACCCAGCCTTCCCTGCTGATCCAGTGCGCCCGTCTGTCATACGTCCATTGTTGTAATGCAGTTGATCTCAGGAAGTGACCTGATCTGAACTAATTGAGGACATGTGATACCTGGCATCAAATACTCTTCCCATGCATCCCCTCCTTCCCTCTGCTCATCGCCATCACATCTGTGCCTCTTGCACTCGTTGAGGATTGAGGACGTCAGCGTCAAGTCCTCTTCCCATGCGCCCCCCTCGTCCCCACTTTCCCACTGTTTCCCACGTCTTCTTCCCTTCCCACCAAAGCACAGTCGATCTGCTCGATCTGCTCAATCCACATACTTTACACACTTGACACAATCTGCGCGATTTCCTGGGCGGGCATGGGGAGCCAGCAGCAGGAAGGGCATTCTGCAGTCTGACTATCGCACACCCATCCCACTACTCTCACTTCTCTCACTTCTCTCCTTCAAATATCTTCTTCACTCATCATTATTCACTCACTTCTCTCCCCCTCTGTTCCCTCACATACTCTTGCGAACCCAAATTCCCACCATGTCACGTCCTTCCCCAATGCCACACTTCACTGTGAGAGCTTCATGATACAGTCCTGACATTCAGTCATCAACAACATGGCAGGACACTCTAAGGCAGACGACCCAGCATGAGCCCTACCAGTGGCATCTGGCTCTTATAAGAAGCAGCAGGGCCAACGAAATAAGAACATGAAGACTGTCATCACCAGTATGATCCATGCAGGGGGGAAGGCTGGCAACGGTACCAACAACCCAGTGCAGATCACACCCAATTTCAGCAATCGCAAATGGTCACATGGATGGCATTGTCCCATGGCGACTGTTGGGGACATACCCATCAGCCAGGGTGTCGCAACAATGCTCCCAGAAGTGATCAAGGCCCCGCCAACTGCTTTCCACGGCAAGGCCAACCTAGAGTACTGGATGGTCACCTGTTACGACCCTATGTTGCAGGAGCTTGTCAAGCTGTGGGGCGTGGACCAGGAGCAGGCTTGTCCCTTTCTTTGGACGCAGGTTCTCAGGCACTACCGGCACTGGGGAGGCAAGACAAGCTTTTCTGTCTTCGATATCCTGATCCAGCTCAGCCATGAAGATCACATCATCACCTTCACTGAGCTCAAGCATGGGGAACAGTGGACGCCCACAATGTTCTCCCACTTGGAGGACCGGACCTCGGCCTCTCACATCATGCCACCATCAAGGTTTCATTGTCGCAAGACAAGGAGACCCAATTTTCAGCAACCGCTCCGAGCGGGGAAACACTTGATGCCTACATGGAGGACTACGTGGCCTACTCAGATGTGAGGGATGAGGAGCTCTTCCTCAGCACCTCACAAGCCAACAGCATTCAGCTTCTGGCAGAGGTACCCAGTTACTCATGGCTAGCCCAGCTAGAGTGCAGGGCCGGCTCAAACGGCAACCAGTGGATCCCGGCCTGGCTCAAACGTGAAGACGGCAGTTGCTCGGTGGGGTTTGGTCGGCCTTTCGGCTTTCACACGCTAGGAGCGATCGACGAAGCAGCAATCGCAACCCCCTGCAATCTGCAGTATGAAGCCATGGTCAACTCCATTGGACATGGGATGGCGAGCTTAGACATGTTGCTCAGCACCCTAACACCAACACCCCCAATGGAGTTCCCACAGTCGCTCATGCGCCACTTAGTGGGCCAAGCATATCTGGCCTTCACCGACCATGCAGCTGCCACTTCTCCGTGGCTGGGCCCAATGGCACATGTCATGCCCACACTGGCCACGGCACGTACCGGCAATGCCACAGCCACCGACCGTGACTGTGACAATCAGCCTCCTTCCACCCCCACACCTTTCTGCCAAATGTGTCATTTCCTGAGTCATGCAAGTCTTAAGGGGGAATAGGAAGTGACGAGGAAGCGAGTTCTTTACCTTAGTATGTGATGTATCTGATATGCAAGCGGGGGAAGACAAAGTCAAGGTTGAAGGCATCGAACTCACCGGAGTTAAGTTGGACGCCACCCAGCGGGCGGGAATCAGGAAAATTGCCGTCGGTGCGGTTGAGTACATATCCTGGAACATGCCTTCCAGGAGACCGACGCGTGTGCTGACATCGCGAACGGCGTTGAGGACCTCCTCGATACGATGAGGTGCAGGTGAAGCGTTACGGTTGCGGCGGTTGCGACGACCAGGTGTGGGTGAAGTGTCACGGTTGCGGCGGTTACGACGGTCGGGGGGAGGGCGACGAGGGGAGGCGGAGCGGCTGCGGCGACGGTGATCACGACTGCGAGAGGTCTGCGAGGTGTCACAGGACTCGTCGCGCGACCGGCTGCGTCTGCGGAGACGCCCGTCCGAGGGTGCGTCCTCTTCGTCAGAGGGAGGGTCGGAGTCGGTGGGGACGGAAACGCCGCGGTGGGTGCGTAGAAGGTCGCGAACGGCCGCGGCGCCATCAGGGTGCGGGAACTGGTGGAACGGGCCCGGACGTCGGCGATTCGCAGTGATGTAGCGCTCGTATGAGGTGCGTTGGGTGTCGGCATCCTGGAGGTCGTAAGGGACGCGATTGCGGGTCATGGGGCAAGGCATGGTGAAGTGATGGGGATTGTGAGCGGTAGGAGTAAGTCAGATGGAGAGGGGTGTCGTGGGCAGGAGCTTAAGGTGTTGTGAGTGGTTAAGAGGACTGGTCAACGTGGTGGGGAGAGCCAAGATGGTAGAGAGAGCGATGACACGTCGGCAGGGAGGGAGGTGGAGGGGAGGTGGAGGGGAGGTGGAGGGAGGGCGTTGGCAGGTGGAGAGGGGGGGGGGTTGGCAGAGGCTGGAGGGGCGTTGCTGTAAACGGAGGCAAGTGGGGCGCAACAGTGCTATCGGGTGGGTAGGTGTGCCAACGAACGCGGGAGGGGCGCAAGTTGTGCCAGCGACAGGGGCAAGTGGAGCGTTGTTGTGCCAACGAAAGGCAAGTGGGGCGCAGATGTGCCTGCGAAGGCGGGAAGGATGGGGTGCCAACGCGGTAAACACAACGTGCATAGAGAGTCGGGGCCCAAGGACACAGGCGGCAGGCGGTGAGGCAGTGGCCGGCGACGGTGAGGCGAAGGAGAGGGTGAAGAGGGGAGCGAAGGGGAGGAAGACGGCGAGGAAGATGGGGGGGGAACGGGGAGGCAAGACAGGGGACGAACGGGACGCACAAGAGAGCGAGGCGCCCGCCAGCGCAAGAGGAGCCTGCCGAGAGGAGATGTGGGAGATTGGGCAACGCTGAGAGAGTCGGATCCTCGGGTGGTGTATTTTGTTTGGTGCGGGTGGAGGATCCTCGGTGCGTGGCCTCCTTCCACGCCTTGCTATGCTTCTCGTCAAGCTCAGTACCGCTCGGTTAGTACCATGGTGTCGTAGTTTTTTGGATCAAGCTCTGATACTTTTGCAGCAAAGTCAGAGACAGTGGGGCTGGGGCAGAGCGGTCAGAGGAGGTATAGCAGTACGTCCACGGAGAGCAAACTAGAGGGATGGACCTTGACCGGGGCCTGGGCGGGGGGAGGCAGCTTGACAATAATTTTGGCTAAGTTCCGGGAATGTGGGGGGGTAAAGAACATGTGGGGG